GGGTTCTATCTTAGTGAGTGTTTTTCATTGTTTATAAGTGGGTTAAAATTATTTATTTTTTAATTTACAAGTCAGTTGATTACATATTTTCTCTGTGCTTATAAGTTGTTAAGAAGTAAAAAAATAAATATGTTTAACTACTTATTTTTAAGCTAGTTTTTATGTTTTTTCGTTACATTTTGACCAGATTTTCTACTATTATCCCTCATCATTTATGAATTTCGTGAATGATTAATCTATTATTTGTGTCCTTTTACTTGTATAAAAGAATATTTAACTTATATGTAATTTAAAAGTTAAGAATTACTTATAAACAACTAGAATCATACCCGTGCGTTGCACGGCCGAAAATCTGCTTTTAAAATTAATAATTAAATTTTTTAAGTTATCTCACTATAGTTTATATTAATATATGTTTATATTCTGAATTGATAGTTATGAGATGATTTTTTTACATTAAAAAATTGTAAGAAAAATGAGTACATAAGTCATTGCTAAAAATTTACAAATTATGAAATACTTCTTTATAAACAGCATTCATTGTTGTACGTTTTAGTTCGCCATTCTCATCACATATTAGTATTTTTAAATCCTTACGATCTATAACTCTGGAAACTGCAACGTATAATTGTCCATGTGTGGAAAAAATGTGACGATAAAAGCTTGGGAGATTATGCTTCTTGCAGTGAGTTTTGGCCGGTCATAAATTGCAACATATAAGGATGCTTAGTAGTCTTGTACGAAAGATAATTCTCTAGAACCAACACATTCATCAATACATATACTTCTCCTTCCTTGATGTAATCTTTGTACTTTTCAATGTGGCATTCTTTGATCTGAGCATGAATACGGGATCCTTGCACAGATAAAACGTATTTAGTTAAGAGCTTTAAAGAAATATTATGAATTGTTATTATTATTTTATTATTTTTAATATTATTAAAAAAGAAAACACAAATGAAATACGACATGCGCATGGAATAGCCTCTTTATCATGAAATACGACATTCATTGTCTTTTCATGCTTCTCTGTTGCGGGCACATCACACACACGAATTGCCCTCAACCTCAAAATCCAATCCGTCCGTTTGTGGTTAACATCTAGTACAACGGAAAACATCTCTACCACCATTTTGGAATGTAAAAGCAAAAAATAAGGATAACATCTAGATAGAGGGAATGTATTAATATTGAAAAATGCTCAAAGAAAATTCTAGATTTTGAATATTTTAAAAATCTTAAATACGTACCCTATTTTAAAAAGATTGGTATTCCAAAAATTTTCTCATCAAGATCAAAATGCATTCTTCAATTAAATGGAGTTAAGTTAAAATGCCGTGTGTAAGATCAAAATACTTTCTTCAATTAAATGGAGTTAAGTTAAAATGGCGTGTGACACCATAACCCAATGCATTATTATTGCAAAAAGAATTGTTTGAGACAATAATTAGGGCCGTTACTTCCATGTGTGAATTGAAACCACACCATTGAGTAGTGCAAAAGACATGAATAATTATTTAGAAGACCAAAGGTTGCCATTCAATTACAAAAATAATAAAACACATATTTGCAATTAAAATGCAATAAATGAATACATTAGACCCAATCAATAACATTAGCCCTTCATGGGCGGGAAACCTCTTTTTTTTCCACACACCATTTTTTTATTAACTCCAAAAACTTTTGCTTTTGTATAGGAGTATAGATTAGTGTTACACCAACACAAAATGTTGATGCATCCGTGCAGTGTATAAAATGGGGTACAAATTTTTGAGATATAAATATCACTTTCCAATCTATTAAGATGACTTACCCGTTTTTTAAAACATATTCACAACCTTGGATTCTATTCTTTTGGATTAGAAAAATTAGTTTTTAACTTTTTTCAACTTCTTATAATTTCTTCCAACTCCTAATTTTTTTAATCAATAATTTAGGAAATGTATTTATATATGATGAATATAAAATAATATTATATATCTAAATTTATAAATTATAGCATATTGCATCAGACACAAACAATAATATATTCATTTTTATCCATAATTAGATTTTTCTAATATATGTATCTAGTTGATCATTTAATTGAGTATTTTTTTAACACTTAAATTCTTTCAATTATTTTTCAATTTTTCCAACTTTTTCCAAGTCTTTCAAGTTTCTTCCAACGTTTTTCAATTTTTTCCAATATCCATCTCTGAAATTTTAATCCAAAAGAACAAATCCTAATTCACGCATTAATGAAAATTAATTATAATCTCCGGTGCAGGAGTGCAGAACACAGGCAAGCCCAAAGCCATTACTTAAACTCTGTATTAATTATGCTCTTTGGAATCCAAACCCATTCAATTATGCTTAGGAAGATAAAAGGATAGCCGCATGATTGCATTTGGAAATTACCCATGCGCATCAAATCTTGTCCGTAGATATATATCAAGAGCTTCCAATCAACGGCTTGGAATACATTACCCTATATTTTTTCCCCTTCTTTTTTTTGAAAAGTGAATTCTTTTGTTTTTGTATATAGTATAGATATGGTAAGAAACATCGGGACAGAGAAACACAGTATCTTAGTTGTGAAAGTCAATTGAACATTAAATTTTCACATGAGCAAATTAATAACAAGTGAAATTAAATATTTGTCATAGCATTAGAAAATTGATTTTGTAATTATTAAGAAGATAAATGAATTCGCAATTGGATTTAATTTAGGTTCATCTAAAAATTTACCTATGAATTTTTGTGGTCAAACAATAACACTCTTTCACTATAAATTAAATCTAAAAAATAATTGATATTAAAATTATAACTTAAAATGAACCCAATATAATTATATCAAATTAATATTATGATTAAATATAATTTTTTACAGTTTATAATAAAAAAAATATCACTATTTGACGAAAAAATATAAAAACAAAAATAATTTTTAGCATGGGAGGGAGTAAAAAATAACTCACCTAAAACCATGGAAAAGTTCAAGTTTTGACTGTGACTTAAAAAGATGACAAATCGTCAAAGATGTTGAAAAAAACGGTAATTCCGTAAGATTTACTGTTACAGTGTTACCAAACGGGAAAAATACTTGTACCATACTACCATGCCTTGTTCTTTTGTGTTTCTTCCTTTCAAAATTCTGTTCCCGTTGGATTTTTCTTGGTAAGGAAAAATAACTCTGGTAAGGAAAAATGTGATACTCCAATCCTTATTATTTTATGATACAAAGTTAATATTAATAGTTTCAATTTTGTTAGAGTTTATCCCACATCAGAAGTTGAAAAGAAAATAAACAGTGTACAATAAGTTCTGAAATTTAACAAAGTAATGAATTGAATTCAATCTTTTAGTATGGTTCAAGTGTCTTATGGTCCTGTTTAGTATCACTATCCTATTTTAAATTATACCATGATCTTGAAGCCAGTTTTAGTCTACCTCGTTTTTTAAGATATTCGTATAGACGTTCATTTATAGCTACCTTAGTCTTTTAGCCCAGTTCATGTGGCTCGTTTAACCTGAATGCTTATCTCAAAGTCCATACATAGCAATCGTGGTTCTTTAGATGTTAACGCTAAAAAAATAATAACCAAGGAATGAGAATTCGCTTGCACGTGATAAACCTGTTAGATTCAAAATGACTCATTTGCCCACTTGAGAGAGAGAGTTCGAGTCTATTTCACATAAGAAGTTGAAAAGAAAAGTGATCGTTATATTCCATCTAAGTTTTTGAATTGAACCAAGTAATAGATTAAATTCAAATTTTTAAGGTAGTTCAACTGAAGTATCTTATGCCCCAAATTAGTATTCCTACACCATTTTTATCCTATCAATTTCCAAACATACTTTTTTCAAAATAATAAATTTATAATATCCATATACTCGATTTGTGTCTCTCTCTATCCCTAAAAGACCTTTTATTTTTAGATTTTTTAGTCAAACTGTGACACTCTTTCATAAAAAATAAAACATAATTTAAATAAAAAATGATATAAAATTTGATGTATTAAAATTATATCTTAAGATGAATCTAGTTATATTAAATTTACATTATAATTAAATTATTTTTTTCAATAATGAAACAAAATATTATTTTTATTAAATAATGGAATAATAATGATATACCAAGTTCAATTCCTGACAATGGCAATATGAGACAATTCTATCTGTCTCTAAAAGATTGTCACATTTTAATTTTTCAGTCCACCGCGGCATCCTTTAACCGTGAATTACGGAAAATGTGTATTTAATTATAATGATGTAGATTTAATAAAATTAATTTTTTTAAAAATATAGTTTTAAAATATCAAATTTTTATCATATTTAATTATTTTAAAGTATACTCCGTATTTAATTTGTAGTAAAACAATATTCCATTTGAAAAAATACTCCTATAAGAAATGATGATCGATCGTGTATGTGCAGTTGTGCACTCTCCACTTGTGAGCGAGGTACCCCCAACAATTTTAATACGGAGTATACTCTAATGATATGATGATGCACGCACTGACGAGAGCGCACGTACACACACATAATTAATAGTCATCCACTAAATTTAACGTGATTTTTTCACATTTTCACTCCTAAAATTTGTGTTACTCTATTTGACATTAGCTTTAAAGGTTAGTCTTAATATTTTAAAAAAAATTCGAAGGATAGCATTTAGTGTTAGAACTTAGAGAATTAATTTATATTTATAAGATTTTAACCAAAGCATTAATGCCATTTAAAAACATAAAAAATCATTCTAAATAAAAGAAAAATATAGAGAAAGTATCGAAATAGGAGCTCAATATTTTTATTGCATTAATAAGGAGTTCACACTGTAGTAATGTGACACTGTACATAGATATTTTACTGTGTTTTTGGAAATGTATATGATCATAATTGATAATGTAAATACTCGTACATTTTAACTCTTATTTCAAAAATACTTTTATTTTGATATATTTTCAAAATTTTACCTAAAAACATTGTTCCGAATATAAGGCCTTAATTAATCTCCACAACATCAATATGTGTTATTTTTTCATATTTTTTTAGTATGTGTTTTTTTTGACACGAGGGAATAGTATGGTAAGTTTGAACAAAATCCAAGTTGAGAATTTTGATAGGCAAATTTTCATTTAATGAGGTGTGGGCCAAAGTTGAAGAAAAAAGAGGAAACATTATTATAATAATAAAAAAGACTAAATTATTAGTGCACATATGGAAAATCTTAAACAATTGGGTCTCTATAAAATCCCCTTTTGCATCCATTTCCTTTCTTCATACTCATTTCTCCATCCAAACTCACCTAATTTTTAAAAAATAAAATAAAATAAAATAAAATTCTCTCTAGATGGGCGCGGTAAATTACTCTTCTATCCCTGCATCAATTTCTTCCCCTTTATTTACGTTCCGTTTTACATTTTATTTTACGCAGAATTTATTTATTTATTTATTTCAAGACAGGCTAATAAAAAGGATTTGATTTTGTTTTGGGTTCAGAAAGAAGAAGCGAAGAAAGAAGTTGTTGCAGAGAAGAAGAATGAAGGAGGGGAACCAAAGGGCGGCGCCGCCGCCGCCGGGAAGGAGGAGGAACCGGCGGCCGCCGCCGTCGTGCTAAAGCTCGACTTGCATTGTGAAGGCTGTGCCAAGAAAGTCAGACGCTCAATCCGCCATCTTGATGGTATTTTATTTTATTTTAATTCTTTATTTTAATTCTTTTAATTAAATATAATTGGTTACGGTGCATGGTATTTTTATTTCTACGGTATTTCAAAGAATTGAAACCACCTCTAATATCTACACTATTTTTTGTATACTCCGTATTTTTTTTGAAGAAAAAAAAAACAGCTTCTATTTTTTTTCTTTTTCCAAAAAAATAGAGACTATCATATAAAGGTGGATCTATCTAAAATAGTGTGAAATTTAAGTCATCACAACATTTGTTCTATTTTCAATATACTCCGTATATGTTTTCATCTAATCTTTATTTATTTTATTTCAATACTCTTTCTCCATATTTCAACCAATTTCGAATAATTTTGTTCACTTTTGCACGTCGTTTTTAATCACTTTTTAATCCTAAAAGGTTTAATATACTCCCTTCGTCTCTAAATATTTGTCACACTTGTATTTTCGAGGTAAAATATCAAGCTTTTTCAATTCATTTTATTTACATATTGGTATAGAAATAAAAGATAAAATTTACATATCAAAAACTAGGTGAAAAATTTTTCGAAATAAGAGGTGTCAAAAATATTTTATTTTATCAAATAACTAATGAAAACGTAGAAATAAATAAAAGTCACTACGACCGTAAAAAAAGTAAATGTTGTAAATATTTTAGGGAGTATATAAACGAGAATACACGTGCATGAGGTCATGAGGACATGAGGTACACGTCTTTGAAAACAAAAACACTTTCAAAAGTGAAAAACTACTCATTTACCCACTAGAAGTAGAATGCGATACACGATAGGGGTGGGTTCGGTTTTGGCGGTTCGGTTTTTATCTAAAACCAAAACAAAACGGAAGGTAAGTTGGCGGTTCGGTTCGGTTCGGTTTTGCATAAAAAATATGTAAACCGTTGGTTATTCGGTTCGGTTTTATGCGGTTTTTATTTTGGTTTTTTTCGGTTTTTTCGGTTTATAAAAGTAAATACTTATAAGCATTAAAAATTGTCTAAATACTAACTCGACAAACCAATAACAATACGTAAGTTTGGGTTTGGTTTTTTTGCTTGATTTTTACACAAAAAAAATGCTGAACGGAAGGTTAGTGTTCTATTTGGTTCAATTTTACATACAAAATATGTGTCAAGTGCCTAACAAACATCTAGAAGATTCCAAATAGTCCTAAAGATATCGTATGTAAAATCAACTATAGAGAATTTATGTTTTTTTGATATAATACTTTTATTTACATTATAACATCAAAATTTTTTTATGTAAATATGTTAACTACTCATATTAATTTTTAATGTTATACGGAGTATAATTCTATATTAGGATTAGTTATTGGTATTTATATCTCTTAGACTTTTTAAAGTTTATAACATGGTTAAAATGTTTAATTAATAGTTAATTAAAAAACTTTAATCAACTAATAATATATTTGCATATTTTTTTATATGATTTTTATACATATCACATATACTCATATACATAAAAAAGAAGCATATAAATAAGTTCGGTTTATTCGGTTCGGTTTTTCAAAGTAAAAACCAAAACGGAACCAAACAATAACGGTTCGGTTCGGTTTTTTTACATTCGGTTTTGGTTTTTTCGATTCGGTTTTTTTTCTAGCTCGTTTCGATCGATTTCGGTTCGGTTTTCAGTTTTCGGTTTTTTCGACCCAGCCCTAATACACGATGCCACTATTTTTTGTCGTGTTTATATCTACTACTCCGTATAAAAATTAATTGAATTTATGTACCAAAAGTACTAACTTTCTATGTCTAATACGAGTAACACTTTTTCATAGATAGTTTTGATATTAAATTTAATTATGACTCATTTATCGCACACATCATATCTTATCTTATTTTAAAGTAAATGTAAAATTAGAAAATAATACTTTATATCAATATTACTCAATTTTAGGGCACTTTTTTAAAGTTTTATAGAACGAAGAAAATATATATTTTCAATCACTCACTCCCAAAAACCTTTATACACTTCCATTTTTCCAACATCTTGGTTCGAAAAAATATTTTTTTACTTGTATATTATTAATTTTTTTAGTAATGAAAATGTAATTCATTAGATTTTTCATTTTTTAAATAAATTTTAATTATATGCCTTTTTATTTTTTAAATACATTTCTTAAATATTTGTAAAAATTAAATCAAGCGGGAAAATGGTGTTTAGAGAACTTAGTACTCCATATTAGTGTGCACCAGCTAGAGGGTAGCTAGATTGAGACCTGGCTAATTAATCACCTAATACTTTATTAGTTATAAATTCATCCTTGTTAGGTGAGATTTAAACGCTTGAAAGTAATATAATCGATAATTAATGATTTCTATATTTAGGTGGAAATGACGTGATAATTTGTGCTTGGAAAAGTTGTCACATTTCATTCCTTTTTATTTTTATTTTTTGTCTTATGTAATGCCGTCTCTTTCTCACAACAGCTTAAATATTGTTTTCAGGTTTACTAGCCTTTTATAATTTTCATATTCCGCTTTAATTAATTAAATTAATATAGTTTCCTCTTCTTGTACTCTACAATTAAAAATGATACGGAGTATATTCATTGAATAACTAATTAATAAAGAATTATATTTTCTTTGACTAATAATAATATGCTAGTTTACTATTTTCCTTACTTATTTGATAAAATAATATAATTATATTTCTTCTAGATTTGTATATCTTTTCATTTAGTTTTTAAATATATAACTTTTTTAATTTTATACAACTTTTCATACAAAATGAGTTAAAAATAAATTCAATTAAATATTATGCTCCGTAACACATTAGGGGAATAATATTATTGGAGGGAAGGGAGTAAAGTAATTTAAAACACAGAGAAATCAAGTCAAACATGGCTATTTTCGGACTTCTCGGTGGGTTTGAGTGACATCACTACGCGGAAACGTAGCGGTCCTATAAATAGGAACATAAACAATTTTGCCAACAATTTTATGAATAAAATACAGCTCCGTGCTAAAATAATTTATAAATAATTTATACTTTTGACAAAATTTGAGTAAGATTTTAATTGTTTAAAATTTATTCTCTCCCTCCGAAAACGTCTTCCCTTTCTTTTTTACTTATCTCATAAAATCTTTTATACTTTTATTAAAAATCATTTTTACTCCTATTAATTTTAAACCTATGTATCACATCATACGTACTCTTTAACTAACAATCTAGACATCACCTCTTACTTTTACCAATCACATCAAAAGTTTTTTGAAAAGTCAACAAAAGAATACTTTTTTCTTAAATTTTTTTAAAAGTCAAAAGAAAAATAAATTTTTGGAACAGAAGAAGTATGTTGTTTGAAAAATAGTATAAAAATTAGAAATAAAGTTACATTTTTAAAAATTACGTCAAAAATTATACTCCGCACAAATATTTGGAGTTCAAAATAAGAGATAGATAATTTTATTTTATCAAATGATCAAATCCACAAATAAATAAAATGTTAAATTACTTTTAAATGGTGAAGAGTTCATTCTATTTAGAAATTTATTGCCTTCTTTTACAACATTTTTTTGAACAGTAATTCAATAGGGAGTATATTCCCTTTTTTTGCACGGAATTCGAATGGTTGTTAGTCTCACAATAAATTTACAAAAAAATCATACAGTATTATTTTCTTCGATTGGATAATTCTTTTCTAAGTGAACATATGAAAAGTGATCACTAAATAAAACAAATTAGATTTATTAATTTTGGACCGTTGGTGTAGGGGTGAAAGACGTTAAAGCGGAGTGGGAAACCGGAAAGGTGACGGTCAAAGGGGACGTTGACCCCGTTATGCTCCGCCACACGGTTGCAAGCAAGACCAAGAAGCAAGTGTCGCTTCTTTCTCCTCTCCCTAAAAATGACGACGGCAATGCTACCGCCGCCGGCGCCGACAAAAAGCCCGACGAGAAAATAGAGGAAAAGAAACCCAAAGAGGTACCCATATCTTTTTTTCGTGTTGTCTTTTCACACTTTACAATACAATATATAGGCTATTTTTAAAAAAAAATGATATTTAAAAATTAATTTTTAAAATAAATCTATTATCATTAAATTAATATTGCAATTTACTTTATTTTTTCTATTGTTTATGGTCAAAATTTAAAAATACTAAAGAAAAATATAAAAAGGAGGGAGTCTATATTATGTTTAGCAACATAAATTTATATGATGAGTAATTATTGGAGTATTTTTTAATAAGAAATAGAGTAATTATTTGATATATCTTCATATTTGTTGCAGGAGGCGAAAGCAACCATGGTGGTTATGAAGATTAGACTACACTGTGACGGATGTGCACATAAAATAAAGAAAATCATTAAGAGTACTAAAGGTAATTATTAGTCTTTTTTAGACCCCTTATTATTATTCTCTTCTGTCTCACAAAATCTTTTTAACTTTTTTTATCTATTAAATTTTTTTTATTTTTATTAAAAAGTCATTTTCATACATACTAATATTTCACCTATTTACTCCCTCCGTCCCAGAAAAAATGTCACGTTTACTATTCTGGGCTCTCGATAACTTTTGTTTGTTGACTCGTTTTGGTTGACCATTTGATAAAATAAAATATTCTTGTCGCATCTTATTTATTAGAGCTTTTCATATACTTTTAAATGGTGTAATTTTTACTTTTTATTACTCTACCAATTTGAAATTAAAGTAAATTTAAAAAAGATGATATTTTGCATGTCGTTCAAAGTGTTGTAAATAAATTGGGACGGAAGGAGTATTACATTATACTTTTTCATTATTAATCTACTCATTACATTCTTTTTATATGACCTATAGATTTTCATACGAAAGCAATATAATAATTACTCCAGTAATAAATTTATGTTCGTTCATCACATTCAATTTTGTATAACCTATAGATTTTCATACGAGTATATTGGTTTCAGACACGATTAAAATATTAAGATGAAATAACGTCACGTTTCTCTAACGATAATTTGTGGCGACTATTATTTCTAGGAGTGCAAAATGTGACGGCCGACACACAGAAAGATTTGGTCACGGTAAATGGGACGATGGACGTGGCAGAGCTAACTTCTTACTTAAGTAAAAAACTGAAGCGGCGCGTGGAGGTTGTGCCACCAGCTAAGACCGACGGCGGCGAAGAAAAGAAGGCGCCCGAGGGCGGCAAGAAGGAGAAAGAGGCGCCGGGCGGCGGCGGGGAAGGGGAGAAGAAGAAAGACGGCGAGAAAACACCGGACGGCGGCGGGGAAGGGGAGGCGAAGGCGGAGGTGAACAAGATGGCATACGGCGGCTACCACCCAAACACGCATTACTACATGACGCCGCCGATGTACAACCAAAGTTTTCATAATCAAGACTACGGCGTTATGATGCATGATGCCCAATTTGACGGCTACGGGTTTAACCACGCGCCGCCGTACTCGCGGGTGGCTCCGCCTCCTCCTCCGCCCACGTACATCAACGCGCCTCCGGAACATGTGTTCAGCGAAGAAGATCCGAATTCATGTTTTGTGATGTGAACCGGACAGCTAGCGGTGTATACAGATCCGGTATACATAAATAAATGAAAGTAAATACTTAATTAGCCCATCATTATAACTTTAATGATGTATTAAGTTGAATGTATGTGAACATGGCGTATGTCCATATTCATTCAACTTTGAATAATCATAAAAAAAAGTTATGATAATTTAGATAAATGGAAACAAAAAAAATATGCGAAATGGTTTATGTACATAGGAGACATAAAAGTTAAAAGATCGAACAGATTAACCGACGATGACGGAGGTTAATTAACGAGTATGAATGGTTTAGGTTGGCTCTTATTATTATTCTTTGACTTCTATGTGAGATTAGTTGGTAATATTTCAATTTTTGGTGGCATGCATCATTAATGTACCATTGTTGCGTGTGAGTAATTATTATCTAAAATATAAAAAATATTAAAGATTAAATCAATTTTTTTTTACATATTTACTTTCTTCCATATATACAATTTCTATAATTTGCCTAATTCACCCCTTTTTACACGTGAAATTTGCAGTGAATAGAACTAAAACATAAGTCATTTTTTAATGTGGGACTCAAACTTTTTTTATTATCTAAATATGATTTAATAATGACTAGTGAAAAGAATAATGTCTAAATGATATTGAACATTTGATTGAACAATGACTAACATATAATGACTAACGTGCTAGGTCTAGAGCGGTAGAGCACAGCACCGGCGAACGAGAACGACGGGAGTTATAGCCGGAGAAGGTGATCGGAAATGGGAGATGGTCGGAAAGATGTAACGCAGAGAGAGATTTTCGAGTGTGTGTTTGCTCCTGCGGCCAAGCCCTCCTTATATAGGAGAGGATTTGGACTCTTCACTGGACCGTCATATATTACGAAGAGTCGGTGACTCTTCAACAATTATGCATGCATGCTTAATTCCGTACACTTCGTTATTAACGAAGTGTACACGCGCGTTTGTTTCGGTCTCGTAAAAATTTAGCCACGCCGCAGACGCGCCGCGCGCGTGTCGTGACGTGCCGAGCCGTGCCGGCCGGACGGCGGCGACGGCGGGCGCGCGAGGAGTCCTCTTTTTGTTCCTTTCATAAGCTCAATTCAAAGCCTAAGCGTAAATATGAGAATACGAAAGGTTTAGAAACTGGTGTGAGACGAAGGCATTTACTCTACCTTAGCATTCAAATTTGAGAATTAATTTCTCATTCACCCGAGCACCGTTTATGACGTGTCATATATCAAGACGTTCGTCTTACTTACGAGATTAATCGTCCATAATTATTTTAGAAAATAATTTTGTGGACCCAACCGAATTTATGTCCAACAATGTCCAATTTACTTTAAAAATTTTCAATAGATCCTATTTAGGTAAATTAACTTTTTAACATTGGTTAACGTTTGAAAATTGTGGGGGAAGGGATTCAAACATTTCAAAGTTGAAAATAGTCGGTGAAAAAGTATATTGAAAGTTTTGAAAGTTAAAAAAGATTTTGTGAGTCAATTTTTTGGGTCCCGACCTTTCTTCAACTGTCTGTAACCATACAAATTACTGTGTTGGATATGATGAGGGAAATTGTAAAAAAGAACAACACAAATATTTATAAAAACAAATTACTGTAAACATTTTTGTTTATTTATTTACTTAGATTGATTATTTGATAAAATCGAATATTATTGTCACTTCTTATTTTAGTAATATACTACTCCTTCCGTTCTCAAAAACATTTCCTTATTCATTTTTTTCACTTCCAACAAAACACTTTTCCTTTCTACTAAAAAGTCACTTTTACCCTTACTTTTTCATACTCTACCTATCACATCATACCTTTTCTCTAATAATCAATCCATCATATCTTACTTTTACCCGTCACATAAGGGTCAAAATTGGAAGTCAACTATAATTTTACACTTCTTTTATTTGCTTTATTTTTAAAATGGGAAGGGTTTTCCCAAATGGATGGAGTACGTAATTAAATACGGAGTAGTTAGGATTAAAATTAATGTAGTTGATGGAAGCTGACAAACTCATTTTTAATTTCAAATCATTCACGCAAATTGAAAATGCATTTGGGATTAATATTCAAATTATTGGCTTCACTTGTGATTTGTGAGGACACAATATCCAAGTCCTTCCAAATATATGTAAGACATACAATAATATATGTGTCCTTTTAAGTCATTTGGAAAAAGCAGTAATCAAAATCTCTATATATTTTCCCAAATTCGGAGACTCAGCTCCCTCCGTGCCTGAGTATTTGTCCACTTTTATTTTTGCACATCATCCAATGCACTTTTTTAATCCATTTCATATTGTAATTTGTATATTAAAAAATTATAAAAATTATATATTAATAATTTATATGTTAAGACGAATCAAACAAGATCACACATGACTATTTTTAAGCTTACACATTGAGAGAATTTGATGAGTCAAAGTGCTTAGATGAACAGTTCCAAAAGTCAAAAGTGTACAGACACTCAGGACGGACCAAGTACAAGTTATTAGCGAAACTTAAAAGAATTGATAATAATAATAAGGACCATGCTACACTTACACCAATAAATATAGCCCATTTATACACCACAGGTTTACACAAACATTTCGATGGTTTACACCGACACAAGTGTTGGTGCGTTAATAAAAATTCACACGGACACAAATGTTGGTGCGTTTAAGAAAAATTAGTTTTACACCAACACAAAATGTTGGTGCAAAACCGCGGGGTACAAGTTGAGGTACATATCTTCGGGTACACATAGCATAATCCTAATAATAATACTCTCTCCCTTTGTATTTTTGGTATTTTTTGAGTTGTTTGTGCCGTCAAATCTAAAAAAGAGACAACTAGAGTATTCCTTTCGAAATTATCTTTCTACATATTTCATTTACAATTTTTAAAAATAAAATTGCTATCTCGTTTTTTTATCTGCATAAAACTCTTGAAATATATTCCCTCTGTTTCTAAAAAGAAACCTTAAATCACTAATAATGAATGAAATACATAAATAGTGTATATTTGTAGTTGAGTTTCTAATTTTGCTTTTGATTGATTGGGTAAAACCGTAAAAGCTAAGTAAGATGTGATTATTAGATTATTAGTGGAAAAAATATGATTTGAAAGGTAGGGTAAGAAAAAGTATGAGTAAAGTTAATTTTTTTAGTAAAAAATAGAAGTCTTTTAGGGAAAATGAAAAAATAAAAGAGGAAGTGTTTTAAAATAAAGGAGGGAGTACTTTGTATAATATTAAAAACTCTGGTAGTCCAAGAACAACGGACATACTGTCGTGTAAAATTAACTTCTTGCATATAAATTCGTGACTCATTTTCTAACATAAAAACTTAAGCGGATAAATATGCTAGGTGTCCTCATGTTTAATTATGTATGAGAGGCATTGCATGATTTGGAGGTTCTCCATATACTCCCTCCGTTCCACTCTCTTTGTCCACTTATCTTTTGGCACACTATCCAATGCACTTCTTTAATCCATTTTATCTTGTGATTTGTATATATATTCAAAAATTATAGAAATTATATATTAATAATCTACGGAGTATATGTTAAAACAAATCAAACAAAATCACACATGACTATATTTAGGCTTACACATTGAAAGAATTTGATGAGTCAAAGTACTTAGATAAACATTTTCAAAAGTCAAATGTGGTCAAAGAGAGTGAGAGGGAGGTAGTATATCCCAATTTTCAAGCTCTATTGATGGGGTGATGACAAATACTCCGTATCACACTCCGCATATATATGTAGTTGTGACCGGAGATACCATGATAATAAATATGTGAAAAGTACATGAGATCTTATTAAATCTATTATTGGGATTTCCAAAATCTATCAAATACACTGTCTCATTCCAAGAAAATTAAGGTCTTGTTCCAGAAAATCGTTAGAGATTAATGCTAGTAATTCGAAAACATTAAATTTTTTTACACAATATATACTAACGTTAATCTCTAGCGTTATTCTTAAACAAGCCGTGAATCATGATTTAGTTAACTCGTACTAACCCTAATTACAAAAAAAATCGGCCAACACAAAAAGGGTAAAAAGGGAAGAGGGTTAAAACCACGTACATGCAAATAAAAGAGAGACAATATATACGTATAAATATATGGAAGTACCAAAAACTTTAGATAGAGTAAAAGATGAAGGAGAAGTTGATTACAAGGAGGCAACCATTTAGCGCCGAGTGGTCGTACGTTAGGATAAACGTTACGTGCATTGCATGTATAGATCTGTCCCATTTGCATTATTTTGGGCTGGAAATCAAATCCAAATCCAACTAATTGCGCCACATTTTATTTTGGTCCGCAAGAACAAAACTGGTACTCCCTCCGTCTTAAAACTTTCTTCCTAGTTTGACTTTTCTCCATTTTTAATTTTTGGCTTTGACTTTAAATTTTACCTTCCTTAAAAAAGATTTTTTGCAAAATATTTTTTTTACAATCATTCAAAATATAGAGTTAGAAGATAATTGATGTAAATACATGAGGGTATTAATGTCATTTGTTATCTTTTTTATCTAATGGGAAGGTAGTTTTAGAACGGAGAAAAAGGGAAAGTGGGAAGAAAGTTTTAGGACGGAGAGAGTACTATTTTGTATTGCACGTCGTCAAGTGTTGACATCTCTTTATGCCCCTAACCTTTATTTCTTGGTGTAAAATTGTTACACGAATTTAATAGAAGCGTTATTTATTATGTTTCGAACTTTCGATTGTAGAATTGATTGTTCATACTTCTTCTGACCCTTGTAAATCACACTAGTCTATCTTTTTCCAACAACCCTTGCACATTTGCCAATTTCATTACACCATATTTTATAGACGTACTTTTAGGTCAAAGTTTTGACCAAAATTAGTTATAATGAAATTGGCAGGGTGCAGGCGTGCATTGAAGTTAGGATTGGCTAGGGAGTTTATGAGAGGTTAGAGGGTATGAACAATTAATTTTATGATATCATCAGAGGTAGTCCAATTTAATTGACTTGATAATCATACCAATTAAGGTGGTGTTAGATTAACTCTCATATGGATAACCCATGGATCCTGGTCCCACCTGAATCCATCTTCACCCCATGCCTTTCAATTGTATCTCTAGCATTTCATTGATTTTGGGCTCAAATTTTTTATCTAGTACGGATTTTAGAGTCCATAAAAATGAACACACTTTTAATTATAGATGAATAGTTCATGAAACAGCATGCACTTTAATTTTTCCTTTCTTTTTGTAATGTGGTACAAAGAAGATGGAGACAACATATTACACTATAAATAAAGCCTTAACAAAAAGGAAAATAATGGAGCTTTTGGTTTTTGGTGATCTTTTTCTCTTGTTTTCCGTCTGGGTTAAGCAATAATGAGAATTGTGGAGTGATTTTTATTGATGAGTATATGGGGTTTTTTCATACTCGATCTCTATTTGTTAGTAATCCACTTTTTGATTAAAAGAACAATGAAAAATACCAAGAATCAATCCTCTTTATGTCAGAAGAAGGTAAAACAAATAAGTAAACTTTTAATAAAAATATTCTTACTAAAACAAATTAACATATATATATATATATATATATATACACACACACACACACACACACATAAAATCTTCATTGTTTAATATGATTATTAGTATTTATTATCCATATCCAGTAATAATGGATATTTACTTGAATAATGAATACTTCATAATGACCAAAGGTCCTACATTTGGAAATAAAAATATATGGTTCTATATTGGAAAAATCATTATGTTTTCGTCCTATTTAGATAAATTTCTGTATCCCCAAAACCTCCTTTAGATCTGGACTAAATTATAGTCAGTGAATAAAGGTAAATTGAATTTTAATCCTAAATTATTAATGATAAGTAGTATGATAGACTATTACTATAAATTTCATTCTTAATTACAAGTGGCAAGGAAC